ATTCAAACTAAGAGTGGTTATGCTAGGATTGTTATAAATCAGAATAACTGTTATACTGCATAAATGGTTTAAAACGAGGCCGACAGCAGACGATAATGAATCTAGCGCTACTTATACTGTGGAAATTGTCGCAAGTTTAAAAAATCATCATGGAATGGCCTAAGCACTCCTATGACTTTTATTTACCATTTTGTGTTGTCATTTTGACATTATATAAATGATATAAAACTTAAAGTCTACCTTTATAGTGTGAACTCTCAGTCATCTTCCCTCAGTACTACAGCCGAAACATACGAACGGAAAATGTTCGATCATTCACTATGATAAAAAAACAGACCGAATTAATTGTTGTTAATCTTACCATGATACCAACTAGGAATAATCGGGCCAGATATTTCCGTAGAATAGTTGCTTTTGACGACTTTCATTAGATGAGTATTTGTCATAGCAAAGGGTTAGTCGTACGTTTCTCATTATACAATCTGCTTATTACGTCACACTGACAGACGTATAGGATGGATTAACGATCGTCGTGTAATATAAAACTTCATGAACGTGCATACCAGAGACAGCCAAAATGTCGAACAAACTTTAACCAAGTGCAACCTGTGGTTTGAGGTCGAACATTTTCCGTTCTTATGTTTCGGCTGTAGTACTAAGGGAAGAACCAAACATAAATGATCACTTTGCAGACCGGGATGGTCACTTACAGAGATGCTCAGAGTGTTAGTTTATACTATAAATAATTCGTTTATTTGAAAACAATCAGCATTTTGGTTTCTTTGATCAATAGAAATTTAACTTCTCATGATTATAAAACGTAGAAAAGATAGAACTCAGAGTGAACGTATGTATTGTATTATACTAGAGTAGAATATACACAAATGACCTGTTTATATTGTCTTCGAATGTTCAGTACATGATCGTTTAAGAAAATGCATAAAATTAATGCATAATTGTCCGGTATTTTTAGGAGCTAGATGTTGAATTTGAAATCGTTAAGTATTTTGTCAAAGTATTTTTTGAATCTTCTAGTCGAATAATGTAACTAGATATTTCTAGGACATGTTAGCTCTGCACATTATACTTCATCTGAATATATGACAAGAATTACACTAACAGAAAGAGCTATGGAATCTTCTCAACGATTTGAAGATGAAATTACAGAGGCAAATCTCACTGCCATTTTAACACATGTACAAGAGTAAATATAACATCCATTACTACAAATCTACTTTAATTCTTTTTCTGCTTTAACGGGATAAGACATTAGTCATGCCCCGTTTTGTCCGGGTCTTCAGGTTTTTCAAATAAACCTCTGTCTCCTCATAATTAGTGAGTCGAAGAATGATAGACTCTAGTAAAAACATCACTTTTCTGCTTCAACTTCTCAACTTACTTTGAGAACTGAACTAATAATGTTATAGTCAGGTCAAGCCAAGTTCTTCACTATTTCTACTCGTAGCTTAATCATCCAGTATTTTTATGAAATCGAGTTACCTAAATCTTAAACGTACAACGACTTTTTTCATCTTACCTCCATCTTGTGCCATCGCTTTTAGTAATGCTACCTCTTGCATGATGGAATCCACAGGAAACTTTCGATATTTCCAACAATGATTATCATTACTGCTGATGTTGTAAGCTGTTTAAATACTACGCTAATTAAAAAATACGCTGTTTAAACTTTTTTTCTATGTTGTACATTTCTATGTTGTACGTTTCTATGTTGTACATTTCTATGTTGTACGTTTCTATGTTGTACATTTCTATGTTGTACATTTTTTTTTCTATGTTGTACATTTTTTAAATACAAATAACCCATAATATAATAATACAGTTGTACATCATCACAAAAAAGCCTTTTTTCTTTTAGAAAAGAGGAAAAAAGGTAGGAAACTTTTTCTTTAATTAATTATCTTTTAACTAATTTGTACATCATATATCAAATGATGTCTAAAAAAAAGCCTTTGCTGAAGAAAGAGAAAAAGCGTAGAAATAATACACTTTTTTTCACCGCTTTCCCACCTTTTTTCCTCTTTTCTAAAAGAAAAAAGGCTTTTTTGTGATGATGTACAACTGTATTCCTATGACCTTTATTAGCCATTTTCTCTTGTCATTATGACATTTAAATGACATAAAACTTAAAGTCTACCTTTATAGTGTGAACTCTCAGTCATCTTCCCTCAGTACTACAGCCGAAACATACGAACGGAAAATGTTCGATCATTCACTATGATAAAAAAACAGACCGAATTAATTGTTGTTAATCTTACCATGATACCAACTAGGAATAATCGGGCCAGATATTTCCGTAGAATAGTTGCTTTTGACGACTTTCATTAGATGAGTATTTGCAAAGGGTTAGTCGTACGTTTCTGGTAAAAAAGAAGTCAACAGTTTTTGATTTAACTAATACAAAATTGATATGAATTTCTGAATTTTGAATTTTTCTTTCTAGTTTCGGTTGTTATAGAATGCGGTGACTTTCGATTGTATCTCACTGTGCGCTCACAAGAATGTCAACTCTCCCATGAAGTAAATGGTAAGTGAATTATTCTATATGAGAAGGAAGCTTACATTTCACTAAATATTACAGATGAACATTGCAGAACTTCAGAGTCCGAGGATAATGAAGGTAAGTTTAAAGACTAATCGAAATGAATTTTATCAGTTTTCTTTTGAAGAGGTTTTGTCAAGAGCATTACTGTCAGAAAGTGTCTATATGGATCGACAATATCTACCATTATCAGCGTCATTAGTGCCATATTGGGTCGAAGATGAATGACGTTTCCTCAATAACACTTGCTATGTTAATCTATACCGCGTGCAACAATGTCTTTCATTTTTATTCCTATTCTTTAATAAATTATTTAATCTTGACAATCGTTCTTCCCTTAATTAATTCAGAAAGCTAAAGCGAGCAAACTAAGACTCAATAGCTGCTAAATCATTCAATTATTCGACGTTGATTTCATTAGTTGTTCACTCATCATTATCATTCTAACACAGATAAGTATATGTTCCGAAAGTAACTAAAGCAAATTAATTCAAACTAAGTGACTGCTATTATATGTCTCCTTCTGACTCTGCGAACTTAGCATAATAGACTTAATCTTAGGTCCATTATCTGGTAAAGTGGATCGCATTATACAATCTGCTTATTACGTCACACTGACAGACGTATAGGATGGATTAACGATCGTCGTGTAATATAAAACTTCATGAACGTGCATACCAGAGACAGCCAAAATGTCGAACAAACTTTAACCAAGTGCAACCTGTGGTTTCTTCAATGCTGTTGAGGTTGGAAATTGTACCATAGACAAACGTGCAATTGTCACAGGACTTGTAAGCCAATAGTTGATTCGTGTTACCGATAGTAGGTAAACGACAAGCTTGCAAGACAGTAAAGTCAGAGTGTCGTAGAAGCAACAATGTGCAACTGCTGTCAAAGATAATAGGAATGATTTTGGATAGAACAAATAGGAGTAGACATTGATTGATAACCGAGATGATCAAAAGATAGTAACCAACACCGAATTTTCGTGGTTTTGGACGTCAGCAAGCTGCATGAGTTGAAGAAGTCGATAAGACAGACGACCAGAATAACGAAAATGTAAATTCCGATTGACTTGTTTGAGTATTTTTCACAATGAAATCAATGAATCTAATGTAAAATTCATCAATTCATTTGAAAACTGAACTTTCGATTAATTTTAATGTGAAAGTTTTACCAGTTATGAGTTGAATATGAATTTCGAGTATAAAACAGTTAATAATTCATTTAAACGTTTTAATCTTTCACTATTTCGACAATTCCAAAAATATTGATTGTCAAATGATTTTTTGTTATTAGAAGCACTCACGTGTTCAAAATTGAACATCGAACAAAAAATATTTTTTTGTTAATATGACCAGAACAGAGTATCTTCATCGACATGCTAACATTCCTGATATATATCTCAAACTCTTTGAAACAGCAATGTTTGACATTTCTAGTAACAAACTTTACGAATGTGTAACAGTTTTAACAATGAATATTAACAGTAAAAAGAATTTTTCATCTTTCTAGCCTTATATCAAATAAAATATAGGAAATTGCAGGCTAATGCAAAATGATTTAATTTATTCCATTCTGAATGTTCGAAGCGAACATATCAGACCGGACAATCGGCAAAGTAAATCGCACTGTATGAAGAACAAAGTTTAGTCTATATTGATCTTGTTCTATGATTTAATATGTGGGTATTACAAATATCACAGCCGAAAAAAAGCAAAATGAAAAATAAACAAAAAACACAACAGAGGGCTGCTTTTTTTAAAAAAAATGGCGGACTTACACACGATAGAGTTAATTTCACTTTACTTTTTTTCTAAGAAAAAAGTGTGTGGCTGAAGTGTGAAGAGAAACGATGATACTAAGGAAAAACATATGTAATGTGATTGGTTTTAGTATAACAACGAAATAAAAGAATGAAACAGAGCACTGCAATTTTTGTCATTCACGAAAAAAACATAAATGAAAAAATTTCTGGAATCACACACAGAAAATTATATATCTAAGTAGAAAACAAAAAATAAAAGAGAATGAAGCAAACACGAAAAAAGAATCAAATTTGTTTTTGGGAACAAATAATCTCCATGTTAGATAGAATATCAGAAGGCGTGAGCAAATTTCTCTATAACACCCATAATAGTTTAGCTTTGTGCTGATCATCCTGTCATCAATGTTATTTTCTCAAATATATTTTAGTAAGCTTACAAAACTCTCGACATATATTTTTTAAAAAAAACAAAAAAAACTGACAAAAAGAGAACTTAAATAATTTTTCTAATGTTCAAAATTTCATCACTGGCAAAAGACAGTCCAAAACATACTTTTTTCCTGTTAATACGCACGTACATCCATGCATACACATCTTGTTTACGTGAATAGACACAAGTAAAATCCGTACAAAGAAAACGTCTAATTTGTTACAATAGAAAAAGAAAACGATTCACATAGCTAAACCATTAAATTGTTGCGTTAAATTTTGTTGTTCTGTTGAAACACAGGTTGAGTAACTTGGTGGAGCAGAAAATGATGACGAAACAGAAGAAGATGAAGAATAGGGTGGAGGTAACGTTGAATCTATATGTTGTACTTGTGAAGGAACTGTAGAAAATAAATTAGCTAATGGCCATAATTTATGACATTCAGAACGATAATTTTCGATTGTTTGTGTACTACATTGTCCATAATCGCCCATTTTAAGAGATTCATATATATTCGCACATGTCTAAAACAGATCGAACATGGAGCTATGCTAAAAATATAAAATAGTCAATAAACTCACTTTGTAATTCTGATCTATAAACGATGGATCTAATGTTGTCAAAAACTGAATTGCTTTTAGATTGTTCGATGGATTCAACAGTAACATAACTTTTGTCGCTAAAAAAATGAAACGAAGATTGTGTTTGTTTTGAATAACAAAAGAGAGAGAAAAAAATGACAAAATACCCTCAATACGATGAGCTAAAGAATTTGAATGTTCCTTAATAAAATCAAGATTCATATCTTCGATAGAACGATCATGTTTATATAATGTTTTTAATTCGTCATCAATTAATATTTTCAAACGTTCATCTGTCAGTGGTTCGCTCTGAACTGAAAAAGAGTACAGAATATTTCTATAGTTGAAGAATCAATACAGAGAAAAAGCTTTTTTCGTTTTGTTTTAGTCATATTAATATACATACCCAACTTTAAAAATTTTAACAGACAAGAATGAAATTTTGGATAACTGGAATCGAATTTTTTCATCCGTTTCAAACAGCGTAACATTAGCATATATTTTCCTAATAATGAAATAACAATATCATAGATATGAAAGAGTAAAAAAAATGTTTATTTTCTTTACATACGTCGTCTATAATAAACTTCAAATCCTAAATAATGTGTTTCTAAACTGGACTGTGAAAAATCTTCTAATGGTTGTAAAAAACGCATTGCTTCATCAAGAGGTTTTTCGGGCTAAAATACATATATTCAACGAAAAATTAATATTACAATTCACAAGATTCAATTGACAACTTACTCTTTCTAATTTTTCTGCAATTAATTCTTCTTCTTTCACTTTTTCTTCTTCACCATCATCTTTATGTCTACTTCGTTGTGATTCTTTTTTTTTTCTATCAGCTTCGATTTGTTTTTGTTTTTCTTGTTGTTCACGTGCTTGTTGTCGACGTTGTTTATTTTTATGTTTTTTCATTTCACTAGCAGACATATTATCTAAATAGATTTATTAGTTAAAATATCTATCATCATATATATATATATAAATCACATTTTATGAATACCTGCATTTTCATTTTTGTCACTGTCATTGTCCGATAATGGACGATCATAAAGACGGATATAAATCTATTTAGATAAAACAAATATATTGTAAATCAACCAATCAATTATTAAACATTTAAATAGACATACTTCAACAGCCATTTGTGCTGCTTGACGAAAAAATCGATGTCCTTTCATATGATCTTCTAAATTTAGCATATCAACATAAGCACACAATACCATTTTTCGTAAACAGTACGAATGAAAATCAAATTGATCTTCGATAAATTCTTGAAAATGCTAAATTAAAAAATGTAAAATATTTTAGTTTTGCTCTATTGAATAATTTATTATTCACTAAATATTTCTTACTCTCTCAATTTCATGACATTTTTTTAATGCTTCACCAAATTTCTTTAATTGACGATAAGCTTTAGCTGAATCCAATTCAAACCACATACATTGCATTTCTTTTAAATATTCACCGGGACTTGAACCTTCCTAATAAATAAACACAACAACTCAAAAACAAATGTTCAAGGACCAATGAATTTTATAAAAATCTATTTCTGAGAAGATTGAAAAAGAAAAGATTTATTAATAATCTTGCCGAAGTCAACAACTTTTCAAATGGAGAATGAATTTGTAGTAACCTAGAGTCCTATTTTTTCCTACTTTAGTATTAAAAAATTAATTTCTTACTCTTGTAAATTTTCCAGCAACTTCTAATGCAGCACTAATATTAGTCGCTCTTAATAAATACTTTGTACATTTACAATTGACAAAACGATCAGCTGTGTCTAATGATTGTGCTTCGTCCATTAATACTGCTGCTGCTTGAAAATCACCAGCATGCTAAGAAAAAAAAATGACGATATTCAATAATATAACTATCGTACCCTCATAAATATATATACTTTATAAATTTTTGCTTTAAACATATATAATTCCACTAATGTTGGTGTGTCATGTATTGCTTGATCAATAAATTCACGTGCCAGTTTTGTATTTCCAAGATAATCGTAATGTTGTGCTAAATAATATTGTAACCACAAGAGTGTTGTGGCCGGTTCAATATCTTCATCCATCACACCATTATTATCTAGGAGAAGAAAAATTAAAATTCGGTTTGGAAACAACGAACGAAACAACGAAGTTTGGAAAAAACGATCATTAACATACTATCGGAAAGTGAATGAAATGTTCCATATGTCAACAAGTTGTTCAAATATGTTTGTGTCAAAGAGCCAATAATTTGCACCTGTCAAAAAGAAGAGAAAGATGAGTGAAAGAATAAATGATCATAAGATGTGTAGAAAATATACTTTACTTTTTCTAATGATGAATATAAAAATTTAACGGATTGAAATAACGATGGTACACCTTTTTGAAAACCTCTTTGCAAATATGATCCAATAGCTTCAGAAAAGGGTTCACCTAACAAATAAATTAAACTATCATTAAATAAGTCCTTTAAAACTAGTGTATTGTAGAAAAACTTTCTGTATTCGTATATTATAACGATTATAATTGTTATATTTGAAACTAGATTTTTTCTTGCTAATTTCATCTCTACGTTTCACTAGTTAAAGTATAACTGCAAATTGATTGTGTAGCAATTTTTCTCATCGAAATCTATAATACTAGGTTAATGGCTGATATTACCTGTTAAAAATTGTAATCTTATTTGTTTTGGTGCATCAGCTCTCGGATATTTTTCAATTAAATCATTATATAATTTCATTTTTTCACTACTCGTTGTCATATTTAAACATTTTTCTAAATCAAAGTAATATTTTTTATTTTCAGTATTTCGTTCGATTAAATCTCTCAAGATTGTTTCAGCTCGATTATATTGATTCAATCGCATGTATAAGTCATATTTAATTTCTTGTAATGTTAATTTATTCAAAATATCTTTTTCATATGCTTGTATATGTTTTAACGCTTCTTCATATTGTTTACCATCTCGCATTACCAAATTTTGATATAATAAAAACTCTGAATGTTCAATATCATATTGTTTTTCTGTTTGCTTATCTTGTTGACTTTTGCGAAATTCTTCCAATACACTTAATGCCATATCATAATCGCCTAATAAATGATAGGACATGGCAAAACCAATCCATGATGCACGTTGACCAGGTTTCAAAATAAATAATTGATGACGAGTTTCCTGCATAAGAAAAAACAATGATATAATAAGAAAAGTAAAACAAGTCATATTAATTAACTTACTTTATAACCCTCTAAATCACGCATTTGTATTTGAAGTAGGGATAAATCGCGTAGTATAGTTAAACTATCCTAAATGTCAAAAGTAAGATAAATATCTTCAAATGTAAATAGATTCTTCGTTTTTACTTTTTTTTAATTCACTTTATTTTTACTTTATTTTTTTTTTTCGTTTTACTTTATTTTTTTATTTTACTTTTTCACATTGCAATGCTCGTTTATAGGCTTTAATTGCTTCGTCATATTTTCGTTCTGATCGTTGATATAAACCATATACATGCCAACAAACATGACTTTGCATGTTATTCTTGATACCATTACGAATGTGTTCTAGTGCTTCTTCTTTTTTTCCCGTTGAATTCAATATTAGACCTTTCATTGCTAATGTTTCTAAATAAGAGCAGAAACCTGAAGTCTATTCAATGTAAACTACACACATGTCCTACCTCCATGATTTGGAGCTTTCTTTAATATTTCTTTTGCAGCTGTGAGTCCTTTTTTATATTGTTTTTGTTCATAGAATCGCTAGAAACAAAGAGAGCGATAATGTTAGTATAATTTCATTTTTTCGATGCTGAATAACTTACAACAACTTTTTTGAACTGAGTATGTTCACGGGGTGCTAGCTGTTGACTCTGATTGACTGTTGCTACCGTTGTCGATGATGGAGGTGTCGGAGCCATCTGTTTAGTATCTAAAAAACAGGAAATAGAGAAAATTTTAGTCGCTCGATAATTAGCAGTAGAAAATTAAAACGTTTTCTAGAAGATGATAATAACAATAATATGAATATTAAAATAGATTAGTGCTAGGAACAAATAAGATAAACAGACCCTGACTACGGCGGTGAATTTTTTACCACTAACTAGTAACTAACTAGTAAACATATACATAAAACAAGTTCGTATATATAGCTTCTACTATGTTTTTTACTGTTTGTCGAAAACCTTGAGCTGTCATTGATTCATTGTTCTCATTCTCATCATCGTCTTTATGCATAGTTTAGCGCAAACCACGTTATTGAATCAACACTCAATGCAATACGGAATTCGTTACATAACCATGTCTTCTTCATCAAGTCAATGGTAATATTCATATTGAGGACAACATTGATTTGTTCGTGCTTGTTTCGGGTCATTTGATGATATAAGTACATTTGAATGCTCTACTCAAGATCTGCTTGAATTATTGGCAAGAACCACTGGTCGTTGTCTTTTGTCGGCGTTACGACAAATTTGTTTGATTAGTTCATAGTTATAAGGTCCATCAATTATTGACTTTGTTATATACATTCGACGATTTGGATCACCATAATTTCACAAGTCAAATGCTTCTTGTATACAATCGGTGTACAGGCTGCAGTAAGCAGACAAGAAACAGAGAGTCAAGATAATCTTCATTTAACTTGAACAATACTATGCTTATATTCGAATATCATCGATTAACAATGAATGGACATGCATTAAAAATATAAAGTTTCAATCGGTAAGCTTGATTATCCATTTGATTGTATACGATTGCACTGTGACCATTTAGCAGAATTTGTCAGTAAATTGAACTCTATACGCGTTACCTACACATTGTTTTTCTTTTAACACTCATGAACATATTATTTCTATCAATTGTATGATTTTTTTCTAAATATTGATTGAGAATTTCGAAAAAGACCAAGACTAATAAAACTTATGTAATGATTATTTCAAGCATTTCGATTGATTTCTACGATAATTTGCGTCGAGACTATCGAAATTTGTATACATTTGAACCCTAAATGCTCAGCTGTATTCAGTTCTGCAATGCAATTGCAGAAGTTGAGTTGGTCACAGCCAGTATAAAATCTAATGAATTTAAGAGGGGAGTTAATGTAGTTTTCTCTAAAATTGATTAGAAAGTAAAGTGTATTTTCAACTACACAACTGCTGCTTCTCGAGTAACACGAAGCGCAACAGCAGAGCGTTGATGTGTACATTCGAGTCCGTCAGGGTACTGTACGCTTCTATAACTGCAGGGTACTTTACAAGTGTACCATGAGTGGCTACAACTGAATCCAATGGTAAGAATGGCACAAATAAATGTACTACAAATCTTCTTTGCATAATCTAATTCATATTAGACGCTGTAAAGATTAATTATTAAAAAAGAGGAAATTCATTTTCTTACCGAACACTAGATATTTATTTCCGAAAACAAATATAGAGGCAGTAACTGATATTATAACTCTGTCTATGAAAAGCATGTTCAAATGGATGCCATGCAGCAAAAGGAACGTTTATCGATTTGTTTTACAGATCCAGGCGATCGACTGAAAGCAAGGTATTCTTTTATATTTGTTTCAAATTGATTCTTGTTTATCAACACCAATAGTTTTAACATAAAGAAGCAGGTGTATTAGAACAATAAATCCAAGCAAATTGAGCTTAAGAAGTTAATTATAATACAATTTAAATCTATTTAATTCTTTAAATAACTCTTTTCAAACTCCTGGGGCCGTGGCATAAAATAAAGACCCTGAAAGAACATTATTCTCTGACTTCACTTAAGTATATTACAAATCATATCAAGTGGTACTCAACAAAAAAAATTATAGCTATTTATAGAAAACCCTTTTGAATGAAATATCAAATGACATAAAACCAGCTTTCAAATATTTTAGATTATATAGTATAAAATGAAACTGTTTAATATAACTATCATACGAACTATGATATTTTAACATCAATAGTGCATATTTTTGATTGTAATTGATAGCTTCAGATAGCGAGTTTCTTGATTACTGTGTATCTTTGAAGTTACCTAGGTGCGAATTTACTAACTAATGCCTGATTGATAAGTAATATTCATCTGTGTATTCTATATATTCTACGCTAGATCTGTTTTTGTTATACTTTTTGTTTAACGATTTCTTGCATTTGCTGGGTATTGTGACGTGCACGACTTTAGTTAACTGAATATTTTTATTGGCTTTTAGTTGAAATTGAACAAGATCGGATCTAATTGTAACTGTTGATGCTAAGTGAACTGATGCTTTAAAACTCATAATTTTAGTGTTCTGTTATATAAGCTAAGTAGTGTTCGTTTGCCATTTACTTTCTGTCTGTTCTCTCGTAGTCTCTCAGAAAGCTTTCGGGTACCACAGTTCATGCGAATGTTTTAAAAAATTTAGAACGCGTGTACATTTAGATGTCCGTAAATGAAAGCACATAAAAATATCAAAAATGTAAATAACCGTCGGTTTTCTTGAAAAAAAGACGACATGGGAAACCGCGTTCTTTCATGCAGAAGTACGGAAAAAATCAACGTTCGATTCTACAAAACCGTTTTATTTTATTTTAGTTCTTTTCCTGTTTCAAAAGCAGTTCTCATAATTTTTTTCGAAACAAAAACAATTAAAAGAAATAAAATTTTGAATGAAACACACCAATGTTGACTTAGTTTACTTAAGGGCAATCAATCGTATGTGTCTGACTTTTCGAGATGAACTATTTTTTGAAACTGTAAGAAGTAAAAACTAATCTTTCCTAAATTCATTTATCCTCACAGTTGAACTTTTTTCTCGATAGTAGTCAGTTTTCGAATTATAAAAAGGATTTTTTCTCTCAGATAGCTAATGCAAAGAATATGCGTATCTCTTCACAGTAGGTTCGGTTAATATACTGATCATGCAAAGAGCTCGAAAAGAAAAGTCACAACAGCGAAAGATTTTTAAACACTAATCTTTTTACAATTGTGAGTATTCTAAATGTAAGATGGATTTGTTGCTGGAGGCTTCCACTGTGCAGAAAGATGTAGTTTGATCCTGATTGATGCGCAGAAAATAGCCTTGCAGACACAGCACCTTATTTACAGGATAATAGATTGGCAACCAACTGCTTCAGGCACCGTTATCTCAGAATAGCAATCTGCAAGTTCAAGTTTAAATATTTTCTTTGTGTACTGCAAGCGTTACATCGCCGGTATAATTAACATGCACCGAAAGACATCACTCTAACTTGCTTTTACTTTGTCAGCGGATTCCAGTCAAACCAAAGTTAAGAAATAGCAGGGAGACTCAAATAAACCTGAATGGAAGTTTTATCGAATCATTTTTGAAGTTAAAGGAACCTACAAAGTTTTATTCCTATTATACTACATTTTGCGCTGAAATCTGTGTTTACTTACATCCCTCCCTCCCCATTATATTTGATTATTTTTTAATCAAATTTTGAATCGAATTATTTCCTGCAGATGAAGTCCACGTGAAAAGCTCTCCGTGCGACGTTGTGAAGTTAGTCAGAAGAATCTACCTGGACTACATTCTAAAAAAAAGGTATTTCAAAAAATCCCCAAAAGTATTTTCCATTTGAGAAAAACCAAAAAGAAGGTATAACCATCCGTGAAAAACGTTTAAAGGGTATAACCACTTCAACCATATCATAATTGTTTAAAAGTTTCTTATTCTGATCAAAAGTTATAATATGGTTCAAATGGTTATACCATTTTTCGTATTTTAAAATAGCTTTTTTTTTAGCGAGTAGCTCATCAGAAACTATGTCAATACATTATGTTCTCAAAGACTAATTCGAATGAAACCAGATGTACATGAAACTCGTGACTAAAGCGCTTGAGATTCTTGTATGCTCATAAAGTTTTTTTTCTAATGCTTTCTCATTTTGTTTGTTTGTGTAGAGCTTTATTTAAGAGAAAGCGGGAAGACTGGGTGCGCCACTTGGGCGCTGTCAGTCTGAAGATAATTTAATACAATGACTAGGAGATTTTATAAAACTACTTATGAACGTACATTTAAAAATAGAATAAATACACAGGCTACAAATTATAGTGTCTTTAAAGATATCATCCCTCTTCATTTCATTCTAATAGAGATTAGGCATTTACAACACATAAAAATAAAATAAGGGAATTATGTTGACCACACAAAATTACAGAGAATATCAAAAAAACGTTTCGTTTTTACTTGATGCAAACTTTACAATTCTTTTGTTAGGTCTACCTCTTGGTAGCCATTTTATACAGTATTTCCTTTGATAGTGTGCAA